AGGATGTATTAGAACGAAATCTAAAATGAAAATTGTAAACAAGCAATCTGTATGTAAAAAAAACCACCTGTATGTAAATTGTAAATAAGCCATCTGTATGTCAAATATGTCTTATATGTCTTAAATGACATGATGAATTGGAAATGGGGGACCCTGATGTAAACAAGACGAAAGTCTTTCTCTGGTCTGCATCCCCTTAACAATTGTATGTTTTGAGCTGTACTGTACTGTACCCAATATACAAGCTGTTAATAAACTTTTCAATCAATCAATCAATCAATCAAGAGTCCCTGTAGCTAGCTTCACAGAGCAGCTAGCAGAGAGACAAGAAGCTAACAGCGGCAGGCACTTGACAGAGCCGTCACTCAATGTGACCACGCCCTAATTTATGCACAAACTTTAAGACCTAATATAAATAAAAGGGTCGCGTTAGAAAACAATTCACTCACAGATCCATAATCATGAAGGTGGAATCTAACTATATCGATAATAAAAATGTATGGAGCCAGGTGTAGAAACATGTTTTTTTCTGCTGTAAAGTTGGGCATTTTAACATGGGGGTCTATGGAAATTGCTCCTTTCTGCAGCCATCGCCTATCGGCCAATATATGAACTGCATTGTGTGGCACTTCCGTATTGGCTTCCCGGCTCTACCCCACAGTTTGCCGCTTGGTAGAGACGCTAAGGCGCTGCAGCAAGGTTACAACGAGCTCCAGAATAAGCTAGAACAATCCCAACTGGAGACTTTGAAAACTCTAGAAGACCTGAAAAGGACAGATGCAGAGTTGGATACCTGTAAATCTCAGCTGGATGAGTCCCAGAAGCAGGCAAGCGTAGCTATAGCGGAGAGGAGTACCATGGAGCAGAACGCCCAACACAGAGAGGCCTCGATGAAGGCAGAGGCGGAGCAGACCCTGGACTCTGTGAGGTTCAGACTCGGAGGCGAACTGAAGGAGATGGAGCTGAGACTGGACGAGGTGGACAGAAGCGGAACTATGACACCAGGACCAGAGGGCAGCATTTCCGGGCCGGGGAGCTGGTTTGGGTCTACAGCCCACAACGTAAGAAAGGCCGGTGCCCAAAACTGGACAGTCAGTGGGTTGGTCCCTGCAGAGTACTGGAGAGGGTGGGGGAAGTGGTCTACAGGGTGCAGCTGCCACCAAAGGGGAGAAAAGTAGTGCTCCACAGAGACAGGTTGGCTCCGTACAGAGGAGTCGCTTCCCCACAGACCCAAGGAACATCGGGGCCCACAGCCGTCCCCTCGACATCCCCACACTCAGGCCCCCCGGCGAACAGAGCAGCAGTCCCCCATCAGGGACTGAGAGTCCCCCCATTTTTTCGCCGCCTGGGCCAGATCCGGCAACCCCGGTCCTCCTGACCTCAGTCCCCCTGCCGAGAAGGCAGACACGACCCCCGGGTCGCTTCAGAGACATTGTGTGGTAGTAAAGTTATAGTGAGACCCCTCAGTTCCTGTAGAGGGCAAGAATGCGCCCTGGTCTCACTGGAAGGGATGGTAGTCCACCCAGACCTTCCTAGTCAAAGTACAGTGTGTAGATGTAGTGTTGTGCTGTGTTTATTTGTTCCTCGTGGGCGAGGAACTTTGTAGTGGGGGAGTAGTGTAGCGACCCTGCATAGGATGTCCAGGGTGTCACTCAGGCATCCCCCGTCTCTGCCAATCATAGAGCTGCACAGTGATGCTGGTTGAGGTGCGGGCCTGTGGTTGGGGGAGCGGACGGGGAGTTGTGACGTAGACACTGCTATATATATGTGTAGGGGTAGGAGTTAGGGTAGTGTGAGGTTGAACTCACAAGTGTACATGTACCTGTGATCATCTGTTGTCAAACAAGAGTTATTAAAGCCTAATAACGAGAAGCCTGTTTCCGACTCACCTTGTGAACGCTACAATACATTTGTGTTAGTAGACTCCAGTTCTCCAGCAAAATATATTTTGCATTTGTACATTTAGTTCTAGCTTTAATCTTTTTTTAAACAGCATGCATGAAATGTATGTTTTATTGTATACAGTTAACCAAGTAAATACTTTGTTGAGTTCATCCAAATCATTTAGATTGATATATATTTGTTAGACTCATGAGATCAGTGTTGCTAAAATCCTGGCAGTATCCCTTAATTTAGCAATATTATGAAATAGTGACATTTTCTTTTGAAATCTTTTCCTCAAGTCCCTGTTTGGGATAGACTTGCCAACTATCGCCAAGGAGCTACACCAAATGACCAATAAGGTATGACATTAATTAAGTTCTCAGCACTTTGATTTCAGATCTTGTAGTGAATGTGATTGTGAAGCTGACAATTGAGCGGCCCGACCAAGCAAGGAGGCAGAGGCAGAACGTCCAAAATACAACCCGGTGTGGGCATTTATTACAGCATGAACACAATGACACACACAGCCTTAATCTTGCTGTTGTTTCCTTGAGCACAGCACAGCCTGCAGCCACAATGATCTCACACACACTACCTGCCTCCACACACAGGGAAACAGAGCCTAAATACCTACACACTTCTTTCTGGCCTTCTGGGCCGCGAGCTCTGCCTGTCGCAGTTTCCGTCTCTCCAGCTCCTCCAGCAGCTGACGTTCTCTCTCCTGACGGAACTTATCCTCTGCCAGTTTCTTCTCCTCCTCCAGGCATATCAGACGAGCTTCCTCCACTAAGCGCATCTCCTCTTTCTGCTCCCGCATCAATTTCCGGTTCTCCGCCAGGATCTTTGATGCCCCAGCCGAAGAGGTAGTGCCCGTCGAGCCTTTAGCAAATTGGCCGTCTTGCCTCCGGAGTCTCCGTTCCTCTCTTATTCTGGATTCCCGTGCGAACTGCTGCTCACCGGCTGCCTGAAGCTGCAGGAGTAACCTCATCATCTCCCTCAGTTCCTCCATCACTCTCACCTCCTCACTTGGTCAATCCCACTTCTGACACCAATTGTGAAGCTGACAATTGAGCGGCCCGACCAAGCAAGGAGGCAGAGGCAGAACGTCCAAAATACAACCCGGTGTGGGCATTTATTACAGCATGAACACAATGACACACACAGCCTTAATCTTGCTGTTGTTTCCTTGAGCACAGCACAGCCTGCAGCCACAATGATCTCACACACACTACCTGCCTCCACACACAGGGAAACAGAGCCTAAATACCTACACACTTCTTTCTGGCCTTCTGGGCCGCGAGCTCTGCCTGTCGCAGTTTCCGTCTCTCCAGCTCCTCCAGCAGCTGACGTTCTCTCTCCTGACGGAACTTATCCTCTGCCAGTTTCTTCTCCTCCTCCAGGCGTATCAGACGAGCTTCCTCCACTAAGCGCATCTCCTCTTTCTGCTCCCGCATCAATTTCCGGTTCTCCGCCAGGATCTTTGATGCCCCAGCCGAAGAGGTAGTGCCCGTCGAGCCTTTAGCAAATTGGCCGTCTTGCCTCCGGAGTCTCCGTTCCTCTCTTATTCTGGATTCCCGTGCGAACTGCTGCTCACTGGCTGCCTGAAGCTGCAGGAGTAACCTCATCATCTCCCTCAGTTCCTCCATCACTCTCACCTCCTCACTTGGTCAATCCCACTTCTGACACCAATTGTGAAGCTGACAATTGAGCGGCCCGACCAAGCAAGGAGGCAGAGGCAGAACGTCCAAAATACAACCCGGTGTGGGCATTTATTACAGCATGAACACAATGACACACACACAGCCTTAATCCTGCTGTTGTTTCCTTGAGCACAGCACAGCCTGCAGCCACAATGATCTCACACACACTACCTGCCTCCACACACAGGGAAACAGAGCCTAAATACCTACACACTAATCAGCACAACAAGACACAGGTGAGGGGGGAGGGGGAGGAGACAACACAGGGCACCAGGTGAACATAATCAGGAGTAACAGAAAGAACGGGAGGGGGAACACTTTTCAAAATAAAAACATGTGCAATATACAAGGCCTGAAGCCGTCAGTCCATAGTGACAAAGTTATCTTCGTCACAGTGATTGACTTGATTCCTAATGATCATATTTTCCTTTGTGAAAGATGTTTTGGCTACTCTGCAAAGAAATGAGGACCCTCCATGGCGGTTCCTTGGGGAGTCTTTGAACCCAGCACCTCCATCTCCAAACTATGTCAAGGTACTAGAACAGGACCCTCGTCCTCCTCCACCTAATACATTCTACCAGCAGCACATGATGCCTTACCACGTCCTCCAGTATCCAGGCAGAGGAGGGTCTTATGCATATGGTCAATATGCAATTTACCCCAGGTATATTCAAGCAGGAGGTCAGCTTCTTCCACACTCAGGTTCTCAATATCAACTCCCCCCAGTGGTCCTTCAGAGCAATCCAAAAGGAGATCAGAGACATCCCATCAAGGCTCAGAACTATTGTCATTCTTCATCCAGTGAATCTTCATCCAAAAGTGACGGAGACTGAGCGACAGCTTCAATCCTTTGAATCTACCAATTGTAAATGAATAACTGTATTTACACAAATGCATGCAGTTGTTTGCTTTCATCAGGGTGCAATGTGGAGGTTTCCTGTTTCTGTTCTATATTTAGTGTTACTTACCCAAAAGGCATTGTGTCTAAAATTGCATCTTAAATGCATTTCCTTATTCATAAAAACAAGCTGATTTTGAATACATTTAATAAAAATAATTGAAAAAGTTTGCTTCCATGTTCTTGGTTGTCTTCTTCATGTTCCCTTTGTTGGCACATTACTGTACATCGTGACATAATACCACCACCTGTAGATTAGTTTATTACACCATTGGCGTGGATGTAGCAAAAGAGAACAACAGAGACTCACAAATGAAACATGAGTAGGGTTTTCCTGAGAGCAAACAAAATGATATCCTCTCGGTCATCACTAATGGCCAAAAGGTTTGGCGGTGTCAGTTCCAGTAAAGACCCTGGGCTCACTTAATGTTTTCTGGATGTTTCTGGGAGTCAAGCTCTATAATAAACACAGATCAAAAAGGAACATTACAATAAAGGATGAGACAGAAAAGCAAAAGGACACTCCAATATAATTTAATAACGCATTTCCACTACATCAGTGACATGTAAAAAGAAACCAATACATCTCGACTTTTAGTCCTTAAGTCAAGCCTGAAAAGCATCTAAACTACAAATCCGACTGCTTTCCTTTCTGCCTCTTAAACATATTTTAAACTCTACACCATGTTTGTAACACAGAACTTGAGCTTTAAATGTGGTTTTCAAACTCCAAACCAAGATTGTATCTAGTCCTGAGAAAGCTTTTCAAAAGCCCCAAAACACTTAATACAAGGGGCAGAGTGTAAAGACTGTAGGGCGTTCCTTTAATTAGAAATACTAAGTGTAATACTTTCAAAATAACAATCAGGTCACAACCAAAGCTTTCCCTTACCGTTTCAAAGTATTGAAGCACTAAAGGAAGGAGCTGCTTCATACTTCATAATCTTATCAGTTTTGTAAAGCTTATTAACAAAAGCAGCATCGTGTTCTCTCAATTATCTTCGATGCAGGAACCTGTACACATGACAAACGTTGTGAGTGGGGCTGATATCAGTAGTTTATTGTATGTTAAGTCCAACACATTCAAAATTGAAAGAAAAAAAAAGAACAAAACCAGGAAAAAGATTCTCCACCTGCAACAATTTTGTACTAGCAACAAGTAAAGGGTAAACACAGTACAAATGAAGATGGCAGCCACCTGTTTACCACACCTGCTAAAGCCAAGAAGGTACTTCTACTTCCATTAAAAAAAAAAAAGGACTGGAATGATTCACAATGAGGATCCATACTGCATTTTCAACCACAGGAAAATTAATTTACAGCCTTTTTCGCTTTTGAGGATCCTTTAAAAGATTGGAAAAGGGTACTTTGTTGAAAACCTCAGTGAAAAAGAAGATCTATCCTCAGATATTTAACCACCACTTTGATGTAAAAAGCACAAATTGGTATGAAAGCATGATGGCTCTTCTTCGTCACCCTCTTCATTGACCATTGCTGTAAAAAGTAGGATTGCAGTGAAGTGCTCAAGTGAAGCAATTACCTGACAAATAAACATTTGGGGCAGAGGCACCCATGAGAAACACTCAAGGATCAAAGAGCAAGGTTTTTCTGTAATATTAGGTCAAAGACTGATAGTAAGAAATTAAGAAATCTCTATTGAAAACTAATGTCATCTGAAAATACTTGATTTCAACTACAAAGGGAGAATAGCCGAGTATTACTGTGGCAAATTACATAAAATATGCCATGTCTGTACATGTAGTTTTAACTGAGAGCAGATATTCTGTCATGTAATTGTGTTTTTTCTACTGCCAGATGAGAAATTTGGAGACCGTATTCAAAACGAGAGATTGTCCCAGAAATGTTGTAAATAGTGCAATACCAGCAGACAAGGAAGACCTCATTCGTATATTTGTCCAGAAAAATGCTACATCGATCACTTCCCAATTCAGTGCAAGATAAAAAATAATAAAGTGGGTCATGTTTTCCTGTCCAGCTGAAACCAAAAGGTCTTCCCTCCCTACCAAGTGGTACAAAGAAAACACGCTAGAGGACAAGAGGGAGAAGACAAAGGTGGCGTTTAGATCATTGCCTTGAATGGAAGAAAGAAATGAATAATATAAGAACAGGATATGAAAATAAAAATGCACTAATAGCTAGAAAAGTGAGCATTATTTGCTAGTCTGTAGGCGGGTTAGGGCCAGTCCACCTGCACGGAGCATTGCAAGATGCTTGCTGAGGAACGTAGCAGTAAGGAGCAACATAATCTAGATCAACTCTTTCCAAACTGCAGACCTTAGTTGACTGAAATCAGGGATGTGTTAGCTATGTCTTCTTAAACCGAGGAACAAGCATTTTACTGTCACCATCTTTAATGTACCTTAACGGGGGGGGGGGTTATGTTTAGATCTGGATGCCCCTAATGTCCTCTACAAAACCCAGAACAGACACAATACAAACAAATATACAAAAAAAACTCACAGCAGATCATCTTCGGTAGTAAAACAGTATGGAAAAATAAAATATGCACCAGAAAATAAAAACTCGAAACCTGTGAATGAATACTGCAATGTTTTCCCATCCGCTCCCAAAAAGAAATATAGTTCAAAATGAGCGGCTCCATAATAGGAAGCAGAACACCTCGAACCGCTATAGTAAGACTGGAAAAGGTGAAATAGAAGGCACCATTCATGCTTTTATCAAGTTGAGAGAGAAATTAGAAATATATACAGAACACAAAACATACAGTAAACTATGATTTTAGCTGTACATTTATTCTGTTACTCCGCACTTAGGCAGGGAAGGTGGCATCCATCTAGTTTCGTGGTCTAGCTGGCAGGGAAAAACATGAAGAAAAACAAACTTGGAATCAAAATAAAAAAAACAGATCGAGCCGCCATCATCACAACCACTCTTCTATTGTTCTTCGTTTCTTGTCCCCCACCCCCCCCCCGACTTATTTGGTGAAGTCCAGGATTTAAGCTTTTTTTTTATTATTTTCATTCGATTTATAAATGAGGAAAAATATAATGTAGATTTGCGTCGTCATCTTGTCCATCCAGCAGTAATTGAAGTGTAGTTTTGGGTCAAAAGTGTGAAAGGTTCATTGGTCACAGCGGACAGGATGTGAGCGAGGCCTGCCCCGGAAAGTCGTGTCGCTTTGAGACAAAACAGGTCTCTCCAGCTGCGTTCCGAGCTTGGATGTCTATGTAATACGACAAAAGTACCCATTAGTGCATATTGATGAGTGCATTATGCAATTTTTAAGCAGTGGTCTCTCAAAAGGAAAAAGTAAAAGGCAAACTTTTCCACTGGAACTGCACACATTTTGCATCTCACCCTTTTCCAACAGTAACGGGCAGAAAACTACCGTATAAAATGTGCAATAGAGGGATTTCGTGAAGCAGCGCCTCAGTTAAGTCAAGGCATATAATCTCTTTTCCAAATGATGGGCTGTATTATCGTAGTTAAAAGTCTCATCAGTCCCTCCTAATGTGGCAGATTGCTCCTGGTTGGTTCGTCTTTTCCTTCACAAATTTACAAATTAAAGTTTGTGAATTCTTGAGATACCCGAAAAGGACGCTCAGCTCACAACTAATAAGCGAAAAAGATTTGTTTGCTTATTTTTGTGTTGTCTATTTCACAAAATAAAAAAGTTGACAGGCTGTGTCACATTCCAAAGCAAAAGAGGAAACAAAAAAATAAAAAAATAAAACAAAAACCAAATATATACGTTTATACATGAAGATTTCTTTTTCTTTAACGAGAGAACGGTTGAAGATGAAGAACGCGGTACTACTTCCACACTGCGGGTGGTGCTCTTCTCAGCGGCGCTGGGTGGTGAAGCGGCCCTCGCCCTGGCCCCCGGAGCCTCTTCCGGAGCCCATGCCAGGTTTGGGGGCCATGCCGCCTCGGGGTGGGGGTCCCCTCCCGTCGCGCATCATCCCACTTCCCACGATGCCTCTTGAACCTCCGGAGCCCCGGTCGCTGCGCCTCATGTCCCGACGATCGTCTCCTCCACGAGTTTCTCTTTCACGCACCGCCCTCGTCTTTTTCTCCTCCACATTCAGACGCACTTCACCGCGGAACATTATCGGCTGCAGGGAGATAAGCACGGTCAGTATGAAAGAAAAAAAAAAGACTGAATATTTCCCCCAATCAATTTCAGAACCCACGTCATTCACTGGTTTGCACACACAAGTTTGTCCATCTGTCCCGGACCCCATGTAAGCACTGGGTTGACCTGACAAGTTCTGTGTCCCTGCCAGTGAAATCATTTCATATTTAAGGCTGTGTTCAGACAAGATTTAGAATGCCCCAGTTAAAAAAAAAAAAATGCAGTCCCATCATTCATTTAGATTAAGCCACAATGGAGCTCGCAGTTGAGGTGCCAACACAGAAACTTCCCAAAAATTGCGACCAAAACATGAGAAACATATTTAAGAAAGGAAGTTGCCTTGGATAGCTGCTTTTTGGTCTAGGACAGGGCTATTCAATTAGTTTGGAACGGGGGCCGGTTGATGAAAATGATCCAAAGCAAGGGGCCGGGAAAAAGATGGCTTGAAATATGAGCAATCTTATTAAGAGCTTCAGATACAGTAAATACTACAACAGCATAGTGGAGTGCATATATTGTGTTTAATTAAATCAAACAACATAGCCCCAAGGCCTTTATAGATCTAAATGGCAAGTTCAGAACTCAGTAGGCCTACATGTGAAGCTAATTTAACCATCAACATAATTTAATTCGATTTAATTTAGGTGAAATTATCTACAGTAGCTAGTAGGTGGGTTCGAAACCCGAGCCCGCCGAAGTTGTCAGGCAATGTCTTCCCCTCTATCTCGCAATTGAACGCCCTCTCTGGAATAAAGGCACTGGCCCAAAAACTTTTTAAAAAGAAATTAAAAAAAACTTTTTAACATTATACTCAAAGGGCCAGTAAATATCACCCCGGGGCCGGATTTGGCCCGCGGGCCGCCAATTGAATAGCCCTGGTCTAGGATGTTCTGTGTACAAAGATGAAACAGTAAATGAGACCAGTGAGTTTCCAGCAATGCTGCCACAGTGAAAGAAAAGAAGAGTCAAACTGTCCAAGCGATTGCAGACTGCACTTCTTGATTTATATTTGACCTCAGGTGCAGCAACACCTCAACCCAGCAGCCCATTTTTTTCTTTAACCCAATGCTACAATTGTTCTGAACACAGCCTTGTACATTTGTTCACCAGATTGATTTGTGACAGAAATAACAGAAACAAGAATGATTTATTCATTTTTTTTTAAATCAAGGTGTTTCCTGTGTGTTTATCCCATACCATGTGCCATTATAGATTAGTTGTGTGTCACCAAACCACCACCAGATGAATGAAAGTAGGTAATGAAATTGTGATACATGCCCCTTCTACCTTGGCCCCCAGGATTCTTTGCACGGGATCAGAGTCGTCAAAGACCACAAATCCAAAGTTGGGAAGTTTCCCACCAACGCCCTTGGTGTTTATCCGCAGCTCCACGACATTTCCGTATGCTGCAAAAAAGAAAGAAAAAAAAAAAGAGTTTATTTACAATTGTAAAGATTTGTTTTGCATGTCATGACATTTCGACAAACAGCACCATTTGGGAAAAATAAAATAATTGTAATACTTTTTTTATGAGATTGTGATTAGAATTTAGGAGGGACTCGTCATCACTGCATCAATGTTCTCATTGTCATTCAAATATATATTAAAATGGTCATGTGTGAGAAGATCTGTACCAACATTTTTTATTTGTTAAGGCGAGACACTACAGGTGAATACGGTAATTTTTTTTAAACTAAAAGATATCGGCTAGGAATTTCTCCAGTTAATTACTTATATTAGGACCAGAGTTCCCGTTAGCCGGTAATTACCGGACTACGACCGGTAAAATATGCTGAAGACCGGCAAATCTAAATCTCTCCGGTCAAAGTGTCCGTTCAAAATAATTTCCGTTTAGCGCAATACCACATCAGTTGCGCCATTTATGTGACAGACAAAAGAGTATGTGCCAGACAAGAATAGTCAATTCTAATGTCTAACACTTAATGTGGAGAAAGAGATGTCCTGTATGGGTTGATTGTGCGTTGATCTGTTGGTAATGCCTCGGGGTTCCGGTGGGCATGTAAACAAATGCATAATGCTGCGCTATACTTTGCGGCCTCACCCGGTTGCATAGCGACGCTTATTGTTTAGGTGTCTTTTAATAAGCAGGTAGTCCTATCATTAGCTAGAACTAGCTGGATCTGATCGATATGGACATAAACACGAGTCTAATCTGACGGGAGAGAGAGATCAGCTGCTGCTGACGAGTCGACACGCAGCTCTGCATGATCACATGCAGCGGTGAGCGGACAAAACACACACCAGGTTAGAAAATCACACGTAGCTATTTTTATTTTTTAATTACCTCTCAAACTACCGTAACTAGTTATAGATATGTTTAGTTTTACTGTCGGGTCACTCATTACTGGATCCGTGAGCTGCATGATACTGGCGGGCTGTCAGGAGAGAGAGAGAGCGCTCCGTTTATTATTCCCGTGTTATTGTAAGTTACTGTTCACTTTTGAATAATGTAGTTAATCTACTATAATTAGTTTGTTTAATATCAAATCATATCAATTTGTTTTAAAGCTCAATAAATAACAAAGAAGACCTTTGACCGGCACTTTTCTAATTTTGTCCGGAAGATTTAAACTTTAACGGACATTTTGACCGGCGAAAAAATATTCTAACGGGAACTCTGATTAGGACAATTGTTTTTTGTTTAAATATGCAAATTAGCCATAATCACATTAAATAAGCGCATATTCTTAACACATTTCAGGAACACAAATCTGAACATTGGATAAAGCCAGGTTCAAAATGATTGCTTCATTTTGTAGTCATATTAGAATTTAAAGTTTTTACAGAAGGGATTTTGGATATCTCTTTTTATCACTCCATAAATCATAAAATACTGTCAACAGCCCTAAAATATGAATTTGCCATGTTTTTAGGTATAAAATGTTATATAATTCAGGCTATGAATGATATATGAACAAACCCTTCTGTAAAAGCCTTCATAATATTGATAGGAATGTAACTGGAAGGTTTGGTGTATGTACGTGCAACTGAAGTGGAAATTTCAAACTCAGAGTAGGAGAAAAAACTCATTGAGAAAACGACCTGCAGTGAGGCGCTAGCTGAACCCTCCTGTTCTTTGGATGACAGCTTGCGCATCGACGCACTCCGTGAAGGTATTTCATGTTCGGGGTCATTTGTTTTTTTTATAACCTTGCTTCGTCCAAGTGACAATTGTCGTCGTCTTCTCTGTGCACGTTTTTTTCGCTGTTCTTTTGTCATTTTGAGATTTAAATGTCCAGCAGAAAGCTAAACCAGGAAGTGTTTTAGCACACCACGTGACGCATCTGAACGAATCACGCTGTCAGAAATTGACACCAGCCAATGAGATTTTGTTTCTTGGTTTAAGACCCCTTTGTACTTTCACGATTGGCTACTGATACAAAGGAAATTACCATATTTGGATCCGGTGAGATTGTGCCAGAGAGACACAGCTTGCCAACGATATCTCTGTTGACATGGTGCACACAGCGGTCGCGGTACTTTATGTTACGTTAGAATGCTAACTTTTGGTGAATTTAGGAGAAATCTACAGACGCAAATAGACAAACTATAGTCAAATAAACACTTAAATGTGTATTTTGTACGTTTTCCTTCCAAAAGCCTGAAAGAAAACATGGAATCAAAATAGCACAAAATCTCTAAATTGACCAGTGCATGAAAAACGATGTTTTTGCCGTGTCTCGCCTTAAGTCTGTAGACTACAGCTTGTAGTATGTCAATAATTCATATTGAGGTTTTGATTAATTTTGGAGCTCGAGACAGTAGTAGTGTAGTAAACATACTCATGAAGAACTCTTTGAGCTCGCTCTCATCGATGTCATGTGGGAGGTTGCCAACAAAGAGCTGGTGACTGTCAGGGTAACGGACAATTCGCCTGTTGTCCATGTCGCCAGATTCAGAGTCGCCCCGGTTACCTGCAGGTCAAAAATAAACACATCAGCTAACATGAATCATCTGCATCTACATGTAAGAAAGTAAATCACATTATCAGCAAAGTGAAACCCATACCAGGTGGAAGATAACACTGACTGAATAAAGTCCCAAAGACAAATCAAGAAACAGGGTTTTAGAAGATGTGACTCAAAGGGTTTACCTTTGTTAACAAAACTCAAGGGTGGTTTCCCCGTTTGTGACTCCGAAGGTGCAACACCATCTAACAGTGAGAGAGACGTGTGTGAGAACAAACCAAATCAACCACTTGAAAAAGAAGACGTGATGAAGGCCTTATTCTGCAGGACAGGTGTTGGCATTACCAGGCCTGGTACCCCGCGGGGGGAACGCCGGTCTGTCACGTCTGTCTCTCGGTCGGATGGGTGCCGTCTGCGTATCCGTCTTTGCATCAACTCTGAGCTGTAGGGGGAGGGGTGTCACAAAAAGAAAAATAATCAACCAGAAATCCCTTTCATAATTGCTTCAAAGAAACAGATTGGGTCCACTTGCCCCAGCTGGTTATGTGTTCTAGTCTTAAGTCACTTTGCTGCTTTTGTACATGCTTTGAGTATATATAATTATATATACACAGGGTATATGCAGGAATCCTTTAGTCAAATTTAACACCTTTTAAGACCTTTTTTAAGACCCTTTCCATACATTTTAAGACCTCATCGCAATTTCGAGTTCTAACCGGTTACATTGGCGACACACTTTACCTCACATTTACTATATCGATTGTAAGATAGCACAACTAAACAGAGTGCAGACAGACTACTGAAGCCTCCTCTCCACATGAACTTCAACCTCTCTGTGAAGGTCAGGTTTAATGCAGTATGCTGCTTTGTTGCTTCTGTACTGTGCTCTTTCATTCCAGTAGAACTCCTCAGAAACCATTAGAAACCAGTATTTGACCAATAAACAATTGCCAAAACTTTGAACTATGAAATATATTAAACTTTGGTGAGCGTCAGCGGGGTAATGCCATATAGGAGCTCCCTCACAAATACCCATGGGTTAAATTGGGCTGGGGCTGTCCGGGGCTAAGCCCGGTACATAGGACGATGCTCTGACGTCATCACCCTCACACATTTGTCATATGTTTACAAAAAACGATATATATGTTAAGACTTTTCTCGTCCTTAATATAGACTATATTTAGGGTCGATATGTTATGGGTCACATTAACCTTACTTTAAAATAGCAGATCTCTGTGACCGGATATAGTTTGGCTTAGACCCCGGCCCCACGAGGACGCATACAGTAAAACGCAAACGCAAAAAAGTCTTCCGTTCACACGCATTCGATTCATTAACGTGTCTGTTCACACTAGACCGCTGGAAATGCTGGAAACGCTGTAGTACATATGCCAGGCCTGTAAGTGGCGCTGCTGCCGCCACAAAATACACCAAAAGCAGCGAAGAAGACCCCGGAGCATGGTTGCCCCAAGCCCCCAGGAAGTGCGCCGGACTCAGATGAAAATATTCGTGCTGGCCAAACGGCGGTACTACACTTCCGTTTGGTTGCCAGGCCCAGAAACACTTTTTCCCATTGACTTACATGGGGAAAGAGTGGTCTGTAACTCGTTGGATAATTTTTTTTAAACTAAATAAACTACCCAGTATGAACACTTGTATAGCCCTTATTAAAAACATTCGTTCCTCAAGTTGTAAAAATGTGCTAATAACATTATGAGAGTTATTTCCCTCTGCATTATGAACGCGCATCTAACCCACAGGACCGCGCCGCCCGGCACGTTCATGTTACGTGTCCCGACCAATCAGAGCACACTGTGCTCACAGGGAGGGTGGGGGCTGGAGCTATTGGAGCTACAACGAGCCGTTAAAGGCAGAGAGTGAAATTCAGTGAATACACGTAGTTTACAGAGATGCTGTATGAGAAACCAATGTGAGTTGCGTTTATCTTTACCCATGGATGCACAATAAGAACGGATCCATATCGTCTTACTGCCATCCCACGGAGCTGTAATCATGGATATATTGCACATGTTTGCTGTAATTCATTATCATACTACATGGGCTGTATGATTAAATCTTGTACCGTAAATGTTGTATTAAATAAAGTTAATATTACCGACATTATTAACGTCCCTGTAGCTTCGTATTGCACTAAGAAGCTTATTGCACTGTATATAAATATATATATATATACAGTGCAATAATTATTTCATGCTAAATGAAGCTCTGTTGGATATCACTAGATCCTGTTACAGCGTAATATAAGTACATAACGATTGATGTGTACATTAGCATCATTACTAGCTAGCCGCTAGCTGCTAACTGCCGCCTCGTTCATATCAAATCCATGATAACAACAATCCATTACCATGCTGTCATGAACGCGCGGTGCTGTTACGTGTACGCAAATTGACGTGCTTGATGTGAACGAGCATTTTGGTTAAAGTTGCGCATGCTCTATGAGCGCACATACGGGTACTTCTCAGGCATGCTGGGTAATCTGTGACGTTTCACTCTCTCAAAAGGTGGGCCATTTTATCATCATGCGCTAATGAGCAGCTCTCATAGGAATGAATGAGGCCCCGCCTCCCACGCTGTATCCAGTTCTTATTATACATCCATGGGTTGCCCTTCTGTTTATTCTCCGCGGTGGACGGCGTGTTCTCCTGCTGGATATCTCGCTCTGTTCTTGGTCCCCTCCTCTTCTCCTTGTACACAAACTCGCTCGGATCAGTCATTAGCCCGCATGGTTTTTCTTACCACTGCTACGCTGACGACACCCAATTAATTCTGTCCTTTCCCCGCTCAGAGACCCAGGTCGTCGCACGCATCTCTGCTTGTCTAGCTGACATCTCTCAGTGGATGTCTGCTCACCACCTCAAGCTCAACCTTGACAAGACTGAGCTGCTCTTCCTCCCGGGAAAAGATTGTCCAACTCTTGAGCTAACAATCAACATTGGCACCTCAGTTGTTTCCCCGACTCAGACTGCAAGGAATCTGGGTGTGACCCTAGATAACAACCTGTCCTTCACTGCAAACATCGCTGCTACAACCCGCTGCTGCAGATACACGCTTTACAACATCAGGAAGATACGTCCCCAGCTGACACAGAAAGCGACTCAGGTTCTGGTCCAGGCTCTCGTCATCTCACGCCTAGACTACTGCAACTCCCTCCTGGCTGGTCTACCTGCATGTGCCATCCGACCTCTGCAGCTCATCCAGAATGCAGCGGCTCGTCTGGTTTTCAACCTTCCTAAATTCTCCCACACCACTCCGCTCCTCCGCTCCCTTCACTGGCTTCCGGTAACTGCTAGAATCCACTTCAAGACACTGGTACTTGCTTACCGTGCTGCGAATGGATCTGGCCCTTCCTACATCCAGGACATGGTTAAACCGTACACCCCAGCGCGTGCACTACGCTCTGCATCAGCCAAACGACTCGTGAGGGGGACCCAAGTTCCCATCGGCGAAAACACGTGGGTTTGCTGTCCTGGCTCCAAGATGGTGGAATGAGCTCCCCATTGACATCAGGACGGCAGATAGCTTGCACATCTTCCGGCGCAAACTGAAAACTCATCTCTTTCGACTCCACTTCGAGCGTTAGAACGATTAACGAAGCACTTTTATACTAATAAAGGACTGGATTACCTAAAGCCAGTTGAGTAGCACTTGAAATGTTTGGCTCTATGAAACCTGATATACTTATATGATTCTGTTTTCTTCAAGGTTGTGTCTTCCTGGTCGAATGTACTTATTGTAAGTCGCTTTGGACAAAAGCGTCAGCTAAATGCAATGTAATGTAATGTAATCTCTCCGGTAGTCCACCAGCAGATAAAACCCCCACCCCAGAGCGGAGCAAGGCAACGAAACTTAAAATAAGAAGCAGCATTTTATGGCACACTATGCATGGGGCCACCTTGAGGGGGTTTCCCCGACATGTTGTTTCAGTAAATTAAAGGGTGTTTCATGTTGTTGCTGTGGACCTTCTTAATACCTTAGAAAATGCCGTTTAATAGTTTTTAATAGCCTTAATTTTCGCTAAATTGATTTATCAACTTTTAATACTTTTTAAGACCCCGCAGACCCCCTGATATATATATAACTCTTCTCTGAGGACATTTTTAACCACCCAATTTGGTTGTGAAAAAAATCATTTCTATTGCATAATGGTCTCAAATATACAGGTGAGAAGTGGTTCCTTTGTACAGTGAATTTCCTTATGTAATGCAAACCCCAATGTTCCTAAACTCCACACAATCGGAAAAGTATTGCACCCTATGCTGCCACCATGTAGTCATCAATTAAATGTATGATTGAAATACCCGTTGTGGTAGACTTGTATAGTTGTGAAATATTGCTCTGCTCAGGGTCTATGCAGGAATCCTGAAGTCAAGTGCAATACCTTTTAAGACCCTTTTTAAGACCCTTTCCATACATTTTAAGACCTCATCGCCACTTGGAGTTTTAACCGGTTAAGTTGGCGACACACTTTACCTCACATTGACTATACACAGTATTGATTGCCCTTCCTTCTTATCTTCCAACCATTTGGACGCAAACTTGCATTTCACCATAACGATGTTGTTTAACAACCGGCGTAAACGGACCTTGGCGCGCTATCAAGCAGTGAGCGTGCGATGTCCTGTTCAGATGACGTCAAACCCAACGGGATGCCATAAATAAACTACACAGAATCACACTACACACCTACGCAATGATTACATTCAGGCAGACTGTAGAACACAACCTCTTTGGACCAATTATATACTTATTGAAAACAAGCTACAAAATGTAATACCTTGGAAAATGCTGTTTAATAGCCTTAATTTTCGCTAAATTTATTTAACAACTTGTAATACTTTTTAAGACCCCGCGGACACCCTGTCTGCTTCACATCTGCTCTGATAGTTCACTTTATTAGTCAAATTCATGAGAGATGTTTACCTGTGAGTTTGAACCTTTGACAAGATGGGGGGACATTCCAGAGGACATTAAGGTGCCGCTGGGTGGCAGGTTTTTACTGGTCACAGAGGCCCATGAGAAAGCCTGTGAAAGAAGCAGTAATGCATTGTTAACAACAATTAACAATCAACACCTTACTTTAAACTTTGGTGGGTATGTTAATGTCTTCATTGAAATCTCTGTTGGATTGGGAGATAAGCTACAGCAACATTTGTTTGGTGGTTTAAGATATCAGCAGGGCTGACATTGTAGTCAGTAGGGATGGGTACCGAGCCCCGGTATTAAACGGGCCCGGGGCTGAATTATTAAAGACCGTGGTACCGTTAAGCTCCGACGTTAACGGCCTTTTTATCGGTAGCCTACAATTCTGTCATCAGATTATTTAATACGATTTGTTGAAACATTGTCGTTTCTTTTGATGTGAAATATTATTAATTTAAATAAAAAGCAATGTTAATTTTGTTTAGTTAGTTTACCTTATAAGTACCGTTAAAAGAACGGATCGATAAGCGGTATCGATAAAAGTAGTAGTACCGTTAAAACCTTAACGATACCCATCCCTAGTGGTCAGTTAGTTGTTGGATATACTGTCTTGCTGGTGTTACTTTCATAAAAAGGTCAAATTTGTTCTTAATACTTTATTTTCAAGGGCAGGAAGTGAATGTGTTTGTGTGAGAGAAAGAAACAGGTGTTGCTCTATCCACACATCAGGCTCACCTTGGGAGGCTCCTGTGTGTTTGGTGGAGACTCCACAGGGGCCGGTGACGGGGCTTTCTCCTCCATCTCTTCCAAAACCTTCTCAACGACTTCAGGCTTGACTTCTTCTACCTTGGGCTCTGGTTCCGGCTCTGGTTCGGGCTCTGGAGCCGGCTCCTCCATGGGCTCCTCTACTCCATTACTACACAGCACAAATCAACATGAAGGTCACTTCCACAGGTAAAATAAGTATAAAAAGCTAAATGCTTTATGTATATTTTAAGGGTAAAACATCCGAATATATATTATGAGATAGTTGAAGCTCTGACGTACGTGACAGGGTGAGGTTCGTAGTAGGTGGTGTTGGGGCTTTCTTGAAGTGGCTCAGGTGACGGCTGCCTCTCCTCCGGCTCCTCTTCAACTTCCTCCTCTGATTCTAAGTGATAGAAACCAAAACAATTTTGAAATGATTTGCTTTAGTTGCTCGTGATAAACCATGAAAACATTCGTTTTTTTATTTTAAAAACCTGGTGTGTTTGGGATATTTGTGAACATATTACCTTCATCAAGCTCTGCTTCAGAGTCTCCAAAAACCTCATCCTCGTAACGGAAGATGTCATTGTGGACGTAGAACTTGTTGGCCACTGAACCCTATAGTGAGAATTTCTAAATCATTAAGAGGGATTTTCTTTAAACTGAACCAATTAGATGTTATTGTTACCAGACTGTGAAACCAGACCTTACATTTTTTTTCTTTTTGTGACCTATTTCAGTTTAGAAAAACAACTGAACTAAAAACTGTAGTTGAGCTAAAGATGCACTGACGGTGACCAGCTGATCAGTCTCATATTTTATTTTTACACACATGGCATGATGCTAGAACATTGCACTTGCAATACATCTTGGGAAATAATTATTTTTTTAATTCTCACTCAACTCTCAAATATGTATGGCAACAGTACTCAGAAGCAGAGGGAATCACCTCTGGAGCAAGCACGAAAGTTTGCATGAACTTCCTCATGGGTTGACCATTGTTGGACAGTTCTCCAAGGACTTGCACCACCACGCCGTCACTCAGTGTGGCATGAGCATCCACGTGCCTGATCTTTGTGTGGCACTCACTGAACTGCAGGGACATGACCTTCTTGTGGATTTCCTAAGAGTTGCAGAGACAAATTGACAAAAAGACAAATTAATTTGGGGAAAGAGAGGATACATCTGTAAAAATAACATTGCATTAGATCATAGAATATCATTTATATTGAGGATTTGCCAGTTAGCAATGTTCTGAGGTCAGTCGGTGTGCTGTTTACATTCACTTTCATTATTCAGCACATCCTTGATAGCAAGTAATAACACATCTTTACACCAAACTGCAAAAAAATCGATATATGGTCAATCATGTCACTATTGTTTTCACCAGCAATTATTCTATCCTTAAATTAACTATTTACTGAGTGCCATGATCTACATTTAAAAAATACTAATTGTATCACTGTTATTTGTAATTCTATACAAGACACCTACTAGACAGAATTGTTTATGTGAATCTTCATTACTTGGTCATAGCACTTACCGCTTGACCGTAAACTGCTTCTGCAAGCTTCCCACTTGGGTCAAGTCCTCCATGAACATAAGAAGAATTCCTCCCATAAAACCTAATGACACAGATATACGACAGTTAAACAGCAATGCAAACACTTACAGAGTTAGTGCCTTGCAACTTATTTGGGTGATTACCTGTGCAGGAAGTCTGGTGCCTTATTTAACAGTGTGTAATACTGCCTCACAAACTCCCGCCCTACAAGCAGGGGACTTGGCTTCTCCATCACCATTTCTTTGGTAAACAATATTAAGTGCTGAAACAGAAGACAGACAAGGGATTAATTGTTATACCGCCATTAAGAACCTCAAACACACACACACTTGGTTGACATTTTATAAATGCACATTATTTGAAGAAAAAAAAAATACTGTCCTGTCAGAAACCCTACATTTCTGAAGGCTATTTATTTATTATTCTATGCATTTAGCATTTGTTCAAGAGGTGTGGACTACACTTTAAGGTCATTTGCAGGCTGTAGTGTATGGTGCTGGTTAATTGTATTGCATTAGGTCATCCATCTGAACAATTGAGCTTCATAAAAGGTTGGATTTGTTTCAGAGCTTAAGTATAAGACTGCATTAGTTTTGGTGGGACGCACCAAACGAATTGACAACTGAATGTAGAAGATAATCACATGATTTTGACTTCAGGCCATTTTAAGGAAGTTCATACGAGTACTCGTGAACGTTTGCTGATCAACAACATCGATGTTTGGGCAGCCAGAACATGAAGTACGAGAGGTGTTTCACGTCTCCTTTTGAACAGAACGAGGTTATTTGTCTTTTTAGGCCCACCGTTCATCCGACCCACATCAATCACATTTAGCAGACGCAAGACAGCTGACTGTTTAGCTAGCTGCCTGGCTAACACAACTGCTAACACACAACTGCGCCATCACGTTCATCCAATGAGACAAAGAGGGAAACCGGCTGTAGTAAGGAGACTAATGCAGGTGTTAACGTTTGGAAACGGAGAACGAATCGAATTTAACTAAAAATTAAAATCCTACATATCAAAAGTATCCATCGCATAGGTGTGTTACACACATGTGTGCAGCCCTTTGTAGCTAGGCATACTGTATAAATTAGGCCTTTTCATGTCTATGCTAACAACTATTTCTCACATTGTAATCAGCCCTTTGACATTACAGATGTATAATGTGCATCCCCGTCATATCAATTATGTACCGACATTGACAGCAAGAAAAACGTCAGCTAGACTGTGAAATATAGGAATGAATATATAATCTGAACAACCGGCCTATTGGCTGTAATCTTGAAATGCTAACGCTAACCCAGTACACAGAACAGCAACGGCAAGCTTGCGACATGCTAGTTAGCCATCATTAGCATAAGCTAACTTGTGGCGTCGTTGTTTTTCCTTCATCCGGCTGTCACTTTGCCGGAGCACCACATTACTAGAACCACATGGTTATTGTCCGTTTACACAGAAAATGCCACAACTGTCAAGATGTTACTTTGATGACACTTCCACACACACAAGTCGGACGCTAATTGCAAGAGAGGGGAAATGAAACCATAACGATGAGGTGATGTTAGCCATCGTGGTGCACCAAAAAAGCATGTCAATGTTATGCCAATGAGGCAAACATTGACCAAAAACGACAAACGTATATCTTATTGCATCAAAACCAGTAGAACCCATAGGTAATTCAGAGTTACTCAAAGTTTTTAATAAATTACCCTACACTCAAAACTGAACCATTATCAATGAAACAAGTTGAGGGCTAATGCTAGCTCAAAAAAAACAAAGGAAGGCAAATTTGACTAATTTAACAGACACTCAAAGCCAAATAGCTAAGAGATACAGTAGCGACACCTCTAATTGACAACTTTAAATGAGTACTACCGGTCTGGCGTGCAGTCGTGGTTTCGATCAGACAATGCAGCTAACATTAGCTGGTAGCATGCCAGCGGTCTCATAGCTTAGCTTGGAGGATGGCTACTTACCTTATGAAAGACCTATCTATGTAGACAGAATTATTGGTAATAAATATCTACGAGTGACCAGCAGTACACTGTTCTGGAATATCCCAGGTGTGTATAATGATATTTCCCCTCGTTTGACTACCTAACAGTTTATGATCTCTGCTGTACCAGAGATTGAAGATTTAAAGTGATAGGTTGTATTTATTGTTTCACCCCTGCAATCCGGGGCAGGGAACCCCCATCACAAAGAATCAGCCAATGGACTGTTTACACTAGGCAACATAAATTATGACGTCAAACAAATGGCCCCGCCCCCAAAACTTTGTAACGCTGTCTCCACAAAACACTTGACTCTAGCAAAAGGCTATTGATCATCATTGACACTCGTGTTTATTTTTTGAAGAATGCCAAGAAGTAGTAGTAGTTCTTGTGGTATATTTCTTTGGTTTTTATTAAACATATTTACAAGAAGAATGTACATACAAAATAAAATGAAAAAAGGGCATTCAATTAAAGGGAAACTACAAGAAATCTGAACATATTCCCCTACATTCATACAATGGTTTTACTTTGCACATTAAACGTCCAGTTTCAGATCAAAATCACAGTTGGTTGGTTGGTTTGTAATAATCAGACATTTCCAATTTCATAACTAGCTCGCTTTTGTAACATGAACATACGTGATTTAGATAGATAGATAGATAGATGGATGGATGGATGGATGGATGGATGGATGGATAGATAGATAGATAGATAGATAGATAGATAGATAGATAGATAGATAGATAGATAGATAGATAGATAGATAGATAGATAGATAGAGATAGATAGATAGATGGATGGATGGATGGATGGATGGATAGATAGATAGATCGATGGATAGATAGATAGATAGATAGGTAGGTAGATAGATAGATAGATAGATAGATAGATAGATAGATAGATAGATAGATAGATAGATAGATAGATAGATAGATAGATAGATAGATAGATAGATAGATAGATAGATAGATAGATAGACAGACAGACGGATAGACGGATGGATGGATGGATATATAGATAGATAGATACTTTAACAATCCCAATTTGGGAAATTCTTTAAAATATTTAACTAAATTAAACTACTGGCCTTTTATGGCTTTCACATACGCTTATGTATATAAATGTACACAGAGTAAAGACTGCAATATTTTACTCAGAAAAAAAGTTGGAGTAAAACAGTATCAAAACATAAATGCAAAGAGTTGCATGGTGAAAGAAGGACAAGCTGTACCCAACTAAAGAAAATAGGACCTTATGTCACCTCATGATCATTGCAGCTGCAGAGACTTGTTGTTTGAGTGAATGTCAGACATTAGTTATTCATAAAGCGAAAAATAACCTTTCTTTATCAAACTGTCCCTCAAAACAATGAATATGACTCATTCATTGGATCTGCTTGAATTCTAAAAATGCATCCAATGAAAATAATTAATCCAAATAACAGTTATCAGACTTCTATATTCTATACAGACAGTCACCGTTGGGGGTCAGCCATGAAGCAACACCTGCTGCCCAATTGCTTTGTTTGATATGCCAAACATTTGTGACGAACAAGAATTGTGCTTTGATGGATAGTACATTTAACAACTTGAAGGCATAGTTCATGAGGTTTTTAGTAGTCTTGTCACTGGTTTATAATAATCAAGCTTTTACAAGTCTGGATGTTTAGTGCCACCAAGTGGTCAAACAAGTGTTGTGTCTGATACTGTGGATCAACAGGACCATTCATGCTTCAGTTTGGTAACAAAGTAAAGTATTATCACCACCACTTCCAATTAAATACAATGACATTTGGAGAAATATAAAATAAGCCTATGTCAGTTTTTGATGCTCTGAAGAGTGAAATTATGGGGGAAAACAGTGTTTTCTGTGATAGCACTTTAAATAACTAAAGGTAATTTACACTTTGAGGGTGGGTTTAGAGAAATCTATAGAAACTGCTTAATTAAAAGATTGTTTACTGATGGTTGTGACCTTCCTTTTCTAAACATTATAGTTAGCGAATCAGACTCCCTCTTTCTATGGGCTATTTGCTTTTAATGTCAAGTTACAAGCAAATAACCTGCAGCATTAATGATTTATTCAGAAAGAAAACTCTAACAGCCCCATGCTTTGTTGCTCTAAAGAAATGTACTCTTTGAACACCAATCTAACTAGGAATTTGTGGTTTTATATCTCAAACTCCTGTCCAACCTTTTAAAAAATTACTTTAAAACAGTTTCAATTTCCCCATCTGTTGTGTTGTCATGGCAACCGCTGAACCAAACATACAGATATTATGTAACACTGACGTTTATATTAATCTAAATACGGTACTTAACATATTTTAAAAACCAAATCAAAGGCTAATTTGTTGTCAAAGTGTTAAAAACTATATCAAAAATATACTATGTCAACACGATGGGAAGCTGCATTCTGATCTTTACAAATCAACAAAAACAAACACATCTCTTTATAAAGTGAACATTAAAACAGTTAATTTAAGAAAACACAACATAAATGGAGCAAAAACATATGTAATAACATTTTCCACAGAGGTGTTTTCCATCCTTTCTGCGACGCCATGACTTCTAATGTAATCTGAGTCCCGGACAAATGGGAATTAGTTTTTTTAGGGGAACAGTTCAGGAACAAGATGGCTGTCCTGGGGCAAGAAAAGTGTCTTTCTTCTTCCACATAAACACGGCATCTTAATGCAGCCACCAGTGTCATGTAAATAGCTTATTAGCAACAACTTAAATAGCTTATTAGGGAACAACTTTAAACGCATTAAAGGCATCGCTGTATTAAGGAAGACATCGTTTTTTGAGACGGAATTGAAGATCGGAAAGTTTTCTTAACGGTTTGTTGAGAGTGAACACTAACTTACTATATTAGCACAAGCTATATACGGAGCATGATACCGCTATTAAAACGTCTTGATTTTGATTTGTAAACACCGTGTAACTTTAATGTAGTTATTTAGGGAGTTATTGGACACACTTTTCTAATCAGATTTGTTGTTTTTAGGCGTTTTTAGGTGGTACGGTTAGCCGAAATGCTTGAGCCGTTATAACATTCTACAGTGTTTAGCGTAACTTTTGCAGATGCCCCGCAGTAGATAGAAAACAAATAGCTAACTGGACCATGAGTTCATCCCGAGTCAGACCACAGCAGCTGCCGCAGAGCCAGACTGCCAAGGTGCCGCACAAACTAGACTCAGGCGAGGGGATAGAGATGGAAAACATCCAGCATCAAGACCTGGGTCTCGGGGGAGTCGTAGGCACCCCGTCCCCCCCTTCCAGACAAGCCTGGAGCCGCGACAACCCGGGGTTTGAGCCCGAAGAGGAGATCATGGCAGCCGACTGGCCTCCAGCAAGTCCCGGGAGGAGGTCGGTGTCCACGGCCTCCAGCAGCAGCTGCAGCAGCGGCCTGGGCAGCTTCCCCGGAGCGGGCAGCAGCACCCACATCACCCGGGGAGGACTCTACCCGACCCCGACTGTGGATGCCCGGCAGCAGGACAGGCATCTCCACCGCGGCTATTTGAAGCAGATACTACAAAAGATCAGAAGTTAGTCACCCACTTTGTCAGAGGTGGAAGAAGTACTCAGATCTTGTTATAAAGTAGAATGAAGTAGAAGAGTGTAGAATACTCTGTTACAAGTAAACGTCCAGTATTTACATTTATATACAGTAAAAGTACTCAATATGCAGATTGACCCATTTCAGAATGATATATATTATATGTTTTTGATTATAAATATTGTTGCATGAAAGTGTTATCACAGCTTGTAAAGGTGCATCTAACATAAACGTGTATACTGCAGGGTAGATGGTGAATTTACTCCAGGTGTATTTAAAGTCTTATTGAAGTGTTGGTTATATTTCAAATCATTAGGCCAATTCTGCAAAGTAACTAAAGGTATAAAATGAATGTGGTGGAGACAAAGTACACTACACTCTAAATTGTAGTTACACCTACACTTAGTTACTTTACACCACTGCTCTTTGTACACTTCCTAGAATAGTTCAGCAATTATCTAGCTATACTCTAGCATACTAAAGTTTCAATGCTACTATGTAAGAAAAATAAATCATATTGAGTAAAGCACTCAAAGTCCAGGCTAAAAAGTGCTCCATACATAGCAAAAAGGTAAACATTTATAATAAATAGACATTTATAATCTAACATTTTATAGGGTCACTAAAGAAGAGATTGTTCTATGTCTTTGCTCTAAAATTAATATTTTCAAAACCCCTAGTGTAGGGATTGTGCTCTTTCTAACTCAATAGCTTAGTCTAAGGGAGAAACATACAGATATTTTTAATGCATTATTTATGTAATAATATCTATTGTACACATGCTGACTGACATTTGAATTGCTGTTTTTTTCTTTGCAGTTCTGTGGGGCACAGAGCTGATGGAGGACAGTGACAGCAGTCGAGAGCGGTATCTCAGGAACGTACTGAGGGAGATGGTCACATACATCGCATTCCTCATCACTGTTTGTATCTGTAAGTAAACACTCAAGAATACTGAAATGATAGTTGATCCAAGTGACTCATAGAAAGCACTTAAAATGTGGCACAAAATACGCAGGCCGTGGCACTTTTCTGGTAGCTGAAAAGTTATTTTCCAAGCTCACATTGTATGTTTAATGGTTTTGGCAGCTGAAAATGAATCTGTGACACCAGGGTTACAGCTACAGCACACATTTGATGGCCACATTTTCTGATGGTAAAAAGATCATTGGAATCACATTTAAAATGCATATGATGAGAAAACTTGTGGTAAACTTTCTCTACTCTCTTTTTGCTGCAGTGAAATAAGTGTGGTTTAAGGGTGGATCAGGAAATTATTTCCTGGCAGACTAGATTGAGGGATATTCTGCCAGGCAAAGCTCGACATTATAAGCAGTTTCCAGAATGCTACTAGGAATAGTGCTGTGTAGTGAAACTAAATAAAATTCAACCCAATACTGACTTCTTGTTGTTTTCATCATTCTTTGCATTGTCAAACTAGATTTACAGAACAAACGTACACCAACAACATTAACTACTTGTGATTCTACCGTTGTATGACTGCATTTCACCAACAGCTTGTTATGAAGCAAGTGCTAACAGGAATATCAGTTTTACTTGTGTTTTTTTGCTCTGCAGTGACTTATGGGATGGTGAGTGCCAATATGTACTACTATACCAAAGTCATGTCTCAGCTGTTCCTGGACACACCGCTGTCTGCCGGGGACCCTTCCTCTTTTAGAAGCCTCTCAACCATGGAGGATTTCTGGAAGGTAAAACGCAAATTTCATTAATGTTCGGCTTTGTAAGCTAAGTTGTGACACTAAAAACAAACACAAACAACAGACACATCTCTAATAAAAGGACTAGTAAAAGTACAAGTATACCCTGCTCAACCAAATCTCAAAATATTTAAAAAACATTTTAAGAAGAAAAACACTAGTACAAACATGGACATTCAAAATTCACAATTAAATAAATAAATATAGGGTTTTCTAATTTCTGGCCTCTCCTGTGTTGTAAACTTGGCTCTCCTAACCTTACAGTTCACAGAGGGACCTTTCCTCAAAGGCATGTACTGGGAGGTGTGGTACAACAACAAGAGCCTGCCAGAGAATCAGAGTCTCATCTACTATGAGAACCTGCTCCTCGGGGTGCCACGGCTCCGACAGGTTAAAGTCCGCAATGAGTCCTGCTCCGTCCACGAAGATCTGAGAGGCGAGATTCAGGACTGCTACAACATGTACACCCCGTCCAACGAGGACACGGCCTCCTTTGGCCCCAAGAATGGAACTGCGTGAGTCCATGCTTTTCATTTGATAGGGTCTGATTACCAGTTTGAATGGGACTGAAGCTGTATTAACAAATGTCTACAATATCTTCTTTATTTTGTCTCCTAGGTGGATGTATACAGCAGAGAGTGAGATGGCTGGCAGTGGTTATTGGGGCCAGATATCTAAATATGGAGCTGGAGGATACTACCAAGACCTGTCCCGAACGAGAGAGGAGTCAGCAACCCAACTGCAGTTCCTCAAAGACCATCTGTGGCTGGACCGAGGCACCAGAGCCGTGTTCCTCGACTTCTCCGTCTACAACGGGAACATTAACCTGTTCTGCATCGCCAGGTGAGAATCACTGATCACATCAGTACAATGACAGACCAATGGCGTCTGGTTGGAATGAAATGCAAGAAATGTATGCATTAATGAAACATTATTTAACCTGATTGTCCATCCAACTTTAGTTTGTTTCCAACCTTAATAATAATACTACAAAAGGTTAAACTTTTCTGAAATTGCTGCTATAAATGTGCAGATGAAACATTTGAAAGAGTTTCCTCCTTATTACTCGTCAATCAATTGTTGTTTTTTGACTTATTCTACGGTTAATCTTTTTAAATAAATTGATGAATGCATGACAATTGTTCATGAAAATTCCCTTAAACCCAAGGTAACATCTTTTACAAAACGTTTTTTAAACTTCTGATAGTCAATTAGTCAAAGGAAGTGATCGGTTATTTTAGGCAAGGCAAGGCAAGGCAAGTTTATTTATATAGCACTTTTCAACACAAGGCAATTCAAAGTGCTTTTTTTTAGTCGATTAATGACTTAAATGATTCTTTGATAATCAAAATAGCTGTAAACAACAAAAAAGTTACAATCTGTATATATGTAAATCATATTTTACCCTTACAATAAAATAAAATAAACGTTATATGTGCTTTATTTAGATTGATCTATATAGTGTAAAAGTATCATTGTATGAACACAGGTTGCTGGTGGAGTTCCCTGCTACAGGTGGGGTGCTGACCTCCTGGCAGTTCCAGACTGTGCGTCTGATCCGATACGTGTCCAGCTGGGACTACTTTGTGGGTCTGTGTGAGGTGGCTTTCTGCATATTCATCCTCTACTACGTGGTGGAGGAAGTGCTGGAGATACACATCCACCGCCTGCATTACTTCAAGAACCTGTGGAACTGTCTCGATGTTCTCATTCTCGTGGTGTGTATCAATAGTTGTATTTGGGATTACTAAATGTATTTATGAGTTGAAGTATTTCGCATTGAAATGTATAAAAACGACCAGACTGGGCTCCCCATGAAGCTCACCTTATAGAGCAGGTGCCCTATAACTTAGGCTAAATACTTCAGTGCCTTTCGTTCCTTCTCTCCCTCTTTACTGTCTATCGCAGGGCTATTCAATTAGTTTGGAACGGGGGCCGGTTGATTAAAATGATCCAAAGCAAGGGGCCGGGAAAAAGATGGCATGAAATATGAGCAATCATATTTAGAGCTTCAGATACAGTAAATACTACAACAGCATAGTGGAGTGCATATATTGTGTTTAATTAAATCAAACAACATAGCCCCAAGGCCTTTATAGATCTAAATGGCAAGTTCAGAACTCAGTAGGCCTACATGTGAATCTAATTTAACCATCATTTAATTTGATTTAATTTAGGTGAAATTATCTAATCATTCACACAGAGATGCAATAAATGACAGTTTGTCACTACAGTAGCTAGTAGGTGGGTTCGAAACCCGAGCCCGCTGAAGTTTTCAGGCAATGTCTTCCCGTCTATCTCTCAATGTAACACCCTCTCTGGAATAAAGGCACTCTGGCCCAAAAAAAATCATATCATCCCGGGGCCGGATTTGGCCCGCGCGCCGCCAATTGAATAGCCCTGGTCTATCGTTTTTCCTTGTTTATTCCATATTTTTACATTACACTTTCTAGAATTTGGTGGTTTTTAAATAATTAATTGAGGATTTTAGTCATTGGACGCCTGGATCTTAAGTTATTAGAGAAAAACAGTTGAGCAAACATTAGTGGCAACTCTGTTCATAGCCGTTTCGGGACGTTTGTTTTCCACTGTGCTGTATTCGAGAAACACAGATCTTTTATTGAAAACTTGCTTAAATCAGTGTTTTAAATTTCGTTTTAATAACCCAGTTTTTTTGTTTCTGAGAGGAAACCTCGGCAGATAATTTATCTCCTGGTTAAAACATGCCTGAATGAACAATGAAGGTATCCTAACCAGGAGAAGCTGATCGCAGAAAATTGACCGAGTTTTTTCTTTCTCCGTCTGCTCTTTTTTCAGTTGAGTGTTGTCGCCATCATCATGAACGTAACGCGAACAGCCATGGTGGGCGACCGGATGAAAGGCCTGCTGGAGAATCACTCCGCTCACCCCAGCTTTGAGGCTCTGGCCACCCTGCAGGTCCAGTTCAACAACGTGGCTGCAGTCATCGTCTTCTTCTCATGGGTCAAGGTAGACATTCTTAATGTTGATCCATAATTACTCCAGAGACAGAACAGTGCAGAGGTTTTCATTTGGTGTTTTTCAGCTGAGGACTCATTTGACGTTGCCTTTGTTTCAAACTTCTGTTATCCTCGATATGTTAAAGATCGCTCAGTGAAATGTATTACAATGATAGTAGAATATAATACATAAAATCCAATAATATGAATTATATCCGAATAGAATACGCATTGAACATCAATTTAATAAACGGCAACTAACAAAGTATCAGGCTACATTTTAAAGTGCTTTTAAGAGCACACACACACACACACACACACACACACACACACACACACACACACACACACACACACACACACACACACACACACACACACACACACACACACACACACACACACACACACACACACACACACACACACACACACACACACACACACACACACACACACACACACCACACACACACACACACACACACACACACACACACACACACACACACACACACACACACACACACACACACACACACACACACACACACACACACACACACACACACACACACACACACACACACACACATTAAGTGTGAAGTGTTTCACTTTTAGTGCATAAAAAGGTAAATAAAACACAGAATTTGATCATGGTATTTCAAATAGTAAAATGTGTCTGATATATATATATGATGTATAAACAATTTTAGATGTAAAAATCTAAATGTAATTGGTCGCTCGTTTTGTAAAAGAAAGAAAATTAAAACCTAAACAAATTACTTAACCGGAAACTTTTAACAGACTTTGAGGATCAGTGCCACAGTGGAACATAAAAACCCAACTACTATAAGGTCGACTAATGCTAATATTTTCTCATCCTCTCAGCTCTTTAAGTTCATCAACTTCAACAAGACCATGAGCCAGCTGTCGGGCACCATGTCGCGCTGTGCCAAGGACCTGGTGGGCTTCGCCATCATGTTCTTCATCATCTTCCTGGCCTACGCTCAGCTGGCATACCTGCTGTTTGGAACACAAGTCAACGATTTCAGCACTTTCCAGGCCAGCATGTATGTCTTTCAAAGCACAGTGCGCACATGTAGCAGTACCTGTCATGTTCCCTGATGAATATATGTGTTGTTTCTGTTTTTGTAGATTTACTCAGTTCCGCATCATCCTGAGGGACTTTGAGTTCTCAGAAATAGAGGAGTCGAACCCCGTGCTCGGACCGATCTACTTTACAACCTTTGTCTTCTTCATTGTCTTTATTCTCATGGTGAGTAGAGTGTCCTGTGGTTGTTTACATACAGTACTCCCCCTCCCTGACACAATAACACCTTTCCCATTCTCTCTCCATACAGAACATGTTCCTGGCCATCATCAATGACACCTACTCTGAGGTGAAGGCCGACATGTCCCAGCAGAGGTCTGAGATGGAAATGACAGATCTCATTAAGAAGGTATTGAGCTACGTGGAATATTCATTTTGTCCGGTCAGATTCAATCCATTGAATCAACAGAAGCCACCACCATGGCAATAAGATCCAGAGCCCACTCCAAATATTGCAATTTCTGGGGTCTGGTTGTTTCTTCTTACCGATACAGATATTGGAAAATATGTAATAGAAAAGATATTAGAAAAAATAAAGAATATTAGAAAATGTCAGTGTTTTTTCCCGGGAAAGGTGGCAGTGGAGTTGTTTTCTCCAACCCTTAGATGCATAAGTGGGTCTTTTTTGACCCGGTGAGGTGGTTTTCTTGAAGTATCTTTGTAATTACATTTTTTTATCATTTTATATTCCAGCTTTTCCTCAAAAAACATGTTTTGGATATCATGCCATTCACATTTTTAATTTACATTTTAAGAAATTGTAGTTTTTGTATTACTACCCCATGACCCGCATGCATTTTCTATGGCATCCTATGGTTCACATTCACTGTAGACCACACAG